GATACGACAATTTAAAGTTGAACATTTTGAACGCTACAATAACAATCTTACCATTTTGTTATTGTTTCAATAAATCTGCAGCTTCAGGATTTAACCCTTTGCAAATCTAAATTAACTTTTCTGACTTATAGTATTTCCGTTTTATACGACAAAGTCCATTTTATGCATATGAAATTGAGTCTTGCGACTCGTACAACAGTTAGACTTTTAACAATTTTTTATATCTAAGCTTTGATCGTGTGAAACTTATCTTGAAACATGGTGTAACAATTTTAGTGGTGCGTCAGAGTCACCAGTCGAGTGCAAAGGGTTGATGCATACAGAGACCTTTCTCTGAGACGCGTATTTTATTGCACCCACACTGGTTACGAGGACTCAGTAGTAATTCCAGGTACGTCACTATTGTAATATTACAAATAGTTTGTAACATTATATTTAAACAATTTTTTTTTCACAAAAAACGTCAATGAAAATCAATTAAAAATTATTGTTCAACAAATGCAAAAAAAATTTAATTATCTATCGTTGAAAATAACTATTTTTTAAATATTTTTAGATTTTAGAAATATATTAGAAATATATTATTATATATTATATATTTCTATAATATATCTATTTTCTGTCGATTCTATAATATGTATCTGTCAGATATATCAGATATATCTGTCGATTCTATAATATATATAGCTGCGAGAAACGCAGCGACATTCTGTTATAACTTGTTATATTATATTATAACTTGTTATAACTTCTGTTATAACATCTATATATATTATATTATAACTTGTTATAACTTCTGTTATAACATCTATATATATTAGAAATATATTATTTAGAAAATTCCATCGCAATATCATCGATGGTTCAAAAGTTATAACAGAATGTCGCTGAATTTCTCGATCCGGCCCACTGTGCGTCGGTCCCGTTTGACGTTCCGACCGAGCGGGTAGGAGAGATCGCGACGAGTCGCGGGCCGCACAATAATCGACCGATAACAAATAGCAAATAAAAACGCAGGCCGGCTCCTTTCGCCGGCTGCGACGTCTGGGAATCGAATTCCGACGTCCGTGTGACGCGAGAGTCTTTTGATCGACGATCTTTAACGCGGCTACGAAGCCCGCTATCGGACGCCAGTTCCACACACATACACACACACACACACACAGCCGGTTCCTCCTTTTTCCCTCGCGCCGATTCAAAAGCAAATTCGATTAGCGAGCGACAGATTGATCCTTATTGAATCACGGCTCGCGGTGGTCTTTGTTATCGCGATTCCGTCCACGGGGTTTGCCCCCGCGCGCGGAGACCGCGGCGCGGTTCGCGTTCATCGATCGGTAATGACCCCGATGATCGGCCCAGATAAAAAGATCCTCGTGTCGGATTCGGTTTCTTTCTTCTACCCTGGGCCCTTTTCTTGTCCCGGCGATCGGAGATTAAACGATCGGAGCCGGCCGGCCGAAGCCCGCCGCTCCGCGCCGCGCGGCTCGGCTCGGCTCGGCGCAACGTTCTGCGAGAGCGCGAAGTCGATTCCGTGTAAATTAAACAGCCGTCGATGGTAATCGATGCGGAAACTTCGCGGAGTAATTATCGACCGGGCGCATTCCTTCCACGGATTTCTGACTTCGCGCCCGGTTCGGTTTCCTCCGGGGCCACCTTCGACGGTTTTCTTTCCCAGTTGGGTTTCGAATCGCGGTTTATCGTGGCCATCGATCCCGCTGGTAATACAAGGTGTGCCGAATAGAGTGGTGCGATGCAGATATCGTTGCTTGTCGAATCAAACGGCTCCAGGGACTAATCTGCTGGCGCGCAGTTATTTTTTCGGAGCAAGTGCTGGGCGGAAAAGAATTCTTGTTAAATATATATAATGTATATAATACATATAATATTATATTTAATATTATATATTTATTATATATTATATATTATTATTATCATATATTATATATTTATATATTATATTTAATATTATATATAATTAATAATAATCTGCTAGCGCGCAACTATTTTTTCGGAGCAAGTGCTTCGCGGAAAAGCATAATATGTTAATTTTATTATTATAATAAAAATTGTTACAATTTTATTATATTACAAAAATTATATTATAATATAATATAGTATTATATATATTAAAATTATATATATAATATTATAATAATATTATTATTAAAAATATATTATAATATTATATTATATTATAACTTATTCAAGCGTTTTCCACGAAAGAGTCTCGGAACTTTGCAAAATAAGAAGGCGGTCGCTTTGACCGCGGTAGGTTTAGTGTTAATAATACTTAACTCGAGCAATCTTTGAATTTGTTGATCGCATTGCTAGCATTTCAACGATTTTTTGTCGATCCACGATTCCGTTTCGAAGTTCCTGGGATCGCGCGGCAACTAAATACAAATTCATTAAACGACGATGCATCGCGAAGAAGGTCACGAGAGTTTTACGACAATTGGAGCACGCCAGCCACGATTTCCAGCAAATGATATTCCAACTGAGATTTCCACGCGCCGGCAATCTCCAAGTTAGGCGGTCAGCTATGAACACGGAACCGTGTCGGGCGGAGCTAAATTCGCGATTAATTCGTTCCTCGCGTCATGTCACCACGCTTGTCCGACCACAGTGTGAAAATTGGGCCGCGTTTTATGGTTGTTCGCTCGTTCGTGGGCGAGTTCCCTCCGCGATTCTCGCGTTCGTAAACCTGCTTCCAAATTTTGCATAAGCGCATTGTGCTCTAACGAGACATTCGACAAAAAAAAAAAAACACCGGCAACGTAGAACGAGCTGTTTATAATAGAATTTTTTGGTAGAGCATTTCGCTAGATTTCGTTAGGACCGAAATATTAACCAGTCAGCTGTGTTCGACGAGTATACTCGTCACGGAGAAGTGGCGGAGAAGTGACGAGTATACTCGTCGTCGCTTGATTCTCGCGACATGTACGAAATGCGGGTGTTCTTAAAAGGAGGCGTCACAGCTAATTGGTTAAATGAAACGGAGAACGGTGGATATATTCGCCGACTCGATGCAGCATTGCTCCAATCGTGCGAACCGTTGCACCAATGAGCACGCGTCTCTGTCCGGTAGCTATTGATCAAGAACACGAGCAGGATACGTTTTCACAGTGATCCATCTCGCGACACGCAACGGTATCGATGCGAAATCCATACACCAGTGTGTGCAGCTGTTTGCAGTGTTAACGAAACAACGGATACAATTTTTCAAACGCACAGTCGCACCTGCAAGCTCCGAATCTCCGACGACCATTTTACACCGTTAATCCTTTTTCGAAGGGTATCGACACTTGTAGTCGAAAAAGCACTGTGTGTAATGTAAACAATGTTATAAAAGCTGGAAACTTTGTTATGTAAAAGAGAATGTGTTCTTGCTCGTAAAAGAATTTCTGAATTATTGAATATTTTATTACCGTTGCCGTTACTACTGCTAATATTAAAGATATATATATATATAACTTCTTCCTTTACAAAAATGTTCTCCGAGGCACCGTTAACGAGTTATCAACGAAAAACAGTGACCAATAAGAATCGAGTACGGCTGACGCGAGGCGGCCCAGCCAACCAGCGCGCGAAGCCCAGTTCCGTTCATTGGCTCGGTCGCCACGCGCCAGCCGAGCTCGCCTCTCATTGGTCACTGTTTTTCGTTAATAACTCGTTAACGGTGCCTCGGAGAAAATTTTTGTAAAGGAAGAAGTTGCTTCGAATGACCCGAGGAACCCGCTACTTTCGGATTGCGAGACATTTTTGGGACAGCCTGTATAATAGTTACGATAGCGTAAGAGGCGGTCGCAATTTCGAATTAATGTTCGGGATCGCGAACGGGAAACGAAGGAAGTCAATTTAACGAGCGTCCACGAGTAGAGTCGGAAAACGAAGCCTCTTTACGGAGGCCATGGCGAAGCCGGAAGCTGTTCGCGAACACGTCCGCGGGTCCCGATTTGTCGGGCGCGCGCGCGCGGGACACCCGATGTCCCCTGCAGTCAAAGCGACTAATTCTGATTAGCTCCCAAGCGATCCGAGTATATCCAATTACGGCGTCGCTGGCATGTCGCCCCGTTCGTCCGCCTTAATCCCGCGGAATAATTCGCCCCGGTGGCCTGTCACGTGTCGCCCGGCCGACAGTGAAATATAGGTGACAGCGTGTGCCGTTCGTCGCGTAGCCGTTCTTTGCGCGGTCTTACGAACGCGCGGCCGACGACGAATCAATTAAACGGCCGGCCAGTTCGTTAAATAATTTTCCCCCCAATTAGCTCGGACCGCGCGCCGCCATCTTGCTGCCGTGCGGCGAAACGAATGCCGCCCGAAAACCCCCGATAGAGCCGACTAATTAACCGAGCATGCTCGATGATTGATCAGTGATCCGTGAGCCTCATTATCGCGACGCTGGAACTGTCGGCGGACACAATTTATGGCCGACCGCGGCCGCGCTGCTGCGAACTAGGATTCTGAAAATTCGCTGTTCTATTTCGCCTAACTTAGCTGGTTGGCGAATTTTCTCGCCGTGAGATCGCTTGATTATCGGATGATACGAACGGATGGATGCAGATAGTGCAGATTAACGGAGTTAATTGTCTTTGTTCTAACAGTGTTCTCTGATAAATTTTTTATATTTTATTTTTAATAATATGTTATTTGAAATATATATATTTTTATATATATATTATATTATATATAATATAATAATAATAATAATAATAATATATTTATTATATTATATTGTAATAAATTATTATTTAGCATATGTGTATATAGTATATTATATAGTGTATTATATATAGTATAAATTATTATTATAATTAATTATTATATTATATTATATTTTTAATAATATATTTCAAATAATATATTATTAAAAATAAATATATATATATATATAAAATATTATAAATATATTATTAAATATATTATTTGAAAGCATCGCGTAAATAAATTAAATATAAAATATGAAATTATATATCGCGTAAAATAACCTTGAACAAAAAAAAAACAATAATATCCATAGCACTTCTTCTTACATAGATACGAAATGACTCTTCCTCGAGGAGACCGAGAGTCGATATAATTCCCGCAGAGTCCGCTCGACTCGATCTCGCCGTCGGAGAATTGAAAAAAGAACCGTACACAACGCAGTGTTTCCTTCTAACTAGCCTTAAGTATCGATCGTTCGAATTAGGTTCGATGCCCGAGGCAAATTGAAATATTTCTGTCCCCGATAAAACTGATCGAATGAAACGTTGGTTCTCCGCCGTCAAAATTGCCGCTGCAAATTGAAAAATTGCTCGCCCGTTGATTCCCGTTTCCTCCGCGAGATTGCATGATATCGACGTGCCAGATGCCGGATTTTTCTCCAGAAGGCCACCATTAACGAGATACTCGATCCGCTTCAAATGACACACGGGTGCTTGCTGCTGCATCCTATCCGAGCGAGAAACACTTAGCGAGCGGTGGCACAGCGTGAAGATTACAGAAATTACGGCGCCCCTAAACAAGACCTTTCCTACCGGCGATTTATTATTACCGTCTTCGCGGCGTTCCACTCGGTTGGTGCTTTCTAATCCGCTGGGAATCGATTCCTCGCCGCGATAGCGATCCCGCGATCCACATCGTCCGTCCGTAGTTCGCTGGAATCTTCCCGTTCGTCTCGTTTTAAGATCGTCTTCTTGTGCGGTGGATCAAAATATCGTTACGCTTCCTCCGGTCCTGTAAAATTCAGAGAAAATGTTAGTAACCATTATACAGGGTGTCCCAACAATATCTCGCAAGTCGAAAGTAGGGGATTCCTGAGGTGATTTGAAGCAACTTTTTCCTTAGCGAAAATGCGATCCGCGGCTTCATTTACGAGTTATTAACGAAAAACAGTGACCAATCAGAGGCGAGATCATTTGGCGCGAGACGGCCGAGCCGATGAGCGGCACTGGGCTCCGCGCACTCGTTGGCTGGGCCGCCGCGCGCCAGCCGAGCTCGCCTCTTATTGGTCAGTGTTTTTCGTTGATAACTCGTAAACGGAGCCTCGGAGAAAATTTTCGCAAAGGAAAAAGTTGCTTCGAATGACCTCAGAAACCTCCCATTTCCGGATTGCGAGACATTTTCGGGACATACTGCAGAAGTACGGGTATGTTAATAACAATCCTTCCGAGCCAGGGAACATCGAATATTTTGAAGCCAATTCTACACTAAGGTGTTTACATAAAATAAAACTGTCTTTTTGATCCAATATTTCAACAGAGCGACACTTACTCTGTGTTCGACGAATATACTCGCCTTTGCTTGATTCTCTAAAAAGGAGGCGTCACAGTTAACTGGTTAATTTTAACTGCTTTATTAACAACTATAGAAGGTGGCGCAGATTTTGTAGAAAGTTCGGGAGAATTTGAAAGATCCTTGAAAGATTGTAGAGAATTTTCTGTATCCAGTACGTCCATCGACGCAAACGTTTAAACAAAGAACTTCCAAAAGTCGTTCCTAAAACGGACTTCCAAGATAAGGAAATAGAAGCGGCAACAATGCTCTTCTACCATGAAAGGTTCAAACGTAACTGTGATAATTCTTTGAATACAAAATGTTCGAGGTCGTTTGAAAAATGCCCTTTGAAACGAGATCCCTTTGGCTCTCCGAGTGCGTTCGAAACGCGGTGCCAGAAAAATATTTTACAGAGCTCTGCGATGCTAACAATGCATAAATATTGAGTCGGAGCTTGTCGAAAAGGGTGCACGCGAATGCTTGTAAGCCCTCTTTAGCCTTTTTGGCAAAGACACCGGGGGTCGTAGTCGTCGAGACGCGTCCGATACGAGTTCGTCGTCGACGGCTCGTCCACGTTTGCGAACGCGCACCGGCCGCGATTGTCGCGTGTTCAGGCATCGAAAGGCACTCGATCGTCGATGAACAGAGCTCGGACAATGGGCTCGGCACTCGAGCTGTGCGGCTTTTAATCTCTGGCCCGCTGCGTGCCGGCATTTTCGCGCACCGCCGACCGGCCGGCGTCGATCAAATGGAGCGGAAAGCGCGAACGACCGACTGTTCTCGCTCCTCCTGCACAGACCTCTCGATCCGAACCAACGGTTTCTCGAGATCTCCACCCGGGACCAGTTTCCTTCCCCTTCTCCCAACCCTTCAGCAAGGTAAGCACCCTTGTCTCCGCGTGTACTGGCACGTACGTGAAAGTTTTAAAGCTCCAGCGCCGAGAACATATGTGGCCCGACGGAGGTTAAAGTAGGCGGCAGAGTTTATGTATTTAGATACTTTTACGGCGAGATCCTGGAGACTTTATTTGTGACCCCCTCTTCTCTCCTCTGCGGCGAAAGACGATCTTTTGACGAAGACGCGAAGTATGAATGTCCTATAAGGAAATCACTAAATTGTGGATTTTATGCATTTATAATAAAAATGGATGAATTCGTTGGAACCAGTAAAGCGGTCGAAAGAACTTAGGTGTAGCGATGCGCTGGATTCATCTTAAACTTCCGTTCCTTACAATTAACCCTTTGCACTCGTGGAGATAATTTTCCGTGAATCGCTTTACGTAGCAACGCACGAATCCTGGTTCTTCCTGCGCGTCGATCGATCCGATCGATCCACCACGCCTTTCTCCTTAGGAAGATGAAGCGACTGCTAACGATTTCGTCCCAGATCACCTAAAGAACGGCGATCTCGAAAAACTCGCCGACACGATACTCGAAGAGCATGTCCGCGCAGCGTGTTTTCAGTGTCGCCGAGAGTCTTTCGTCGCGTAATCTGCGAAACAATTACAGTTATGTCTCCCTAACTGACGCTCGGATTGTGCACAAAAATGGACAATTCGAGAAGAGGAGATACGATTATACCAGCCTTGCAGCTCGTTTTTATAGTTGTTGACAATTCTTAACCATAGAATTGAATCGCAAGGATCGAATAATCGACAATTAGAGAGACAGTACTGTATAACCAAGATCGCGCGAATACCGGTCACCATTGAACCGTCACGGAAATCCGATCCGTTCTAGTCGACGCCGGTCTCCCGGCAAAAGTAGGCGCGCTAGCTGTAAACTTGTCACTTCGGACAGTTAACCATCGACGAGGGTACCGTTTTTGCGGCCGTTAATCTGCATTTCCTGTTTATATCGGGCGCCAGCGTCGCCGGACGCCTCTAATTAGGAGCGACTAACCGGCAAAATGGGAATTAATAAAACCATCAAATATTGTTGTGCGTGTAATCGACGACACACCGATACAGATTTTTCTTTTTTCTTCTTTTACGCGGCGCGAGAAAAATCCGACGAGAAATCGTCTCCTCGATCCCGGCGCGGGAAAAACGCTCTCGCTCCGGCTCGCCTTAATTAACGTTCCGGCCATGATTTGCACGCGGCGCGATTCTCTGCGTTCTCTCTTCTCCCCTCACCCGTCCCCGCGTTTCTTTCGCTGTCCGTTCGGCTGTTCGTCGGCCGGGAAAAAGCGACCGATGGGTCGAATCGCGTGGACGGGATCGGCGGCACGCGATCCGCCGAGAAAACGCGTGCGATTCCGAGCCGCGGAATGCGTCCGTGTTCCTCCGCGTTCCCTCGCGGACCGCCATTGGAAAGGGCAGAAATTATAGAGCAATTTTCGTCGGGACTCGTCTTTCCCGCGGCTCCGTCGCCGGATTCCTCCGTAATTTTGGCCGCAAATTTTCCCTCTCCGACCGCCACGCCGTCGACGACGATATCGTCAACAATCCGACGGCAACCGCCGCGGCCCGAAACTACCCCTCCCCTCCTTTTAAAATTTCTCTTTTTTAGCGAAGCTTCCCCCGGAACTTTCCCGTTCCGCCCGCTTTTTCCGCCGTTCTCTTCTCCCCTTGCGCCGCGCTTCTACCGATGTATCGGGTCGGAAAGTTTCACCGGGGTTTCTTTTTTAACGCGCCGCTCCCGTTGCTCGCCATCGCTGCCAAGAAATTCGAACCCGGCGGCGCACACCCTTCCAAACGTAAGCCAACTTAATCCATTCGTTTGTTGTGTTCGTTCTTTCGTGCCGTACGCCGTTCGCTTTGCGCAATTTATTCTCATCCCCGGTTTACCGGTTATGATATATCGCGTAGCATGCGACGAGCATTTGGAACTATGCTTTTTATTTTTTCTTTAATTTTGCATACCGTCGTTCGTACGCGATTTCTTCTTTTCACGAGTACGTCCACGGCTGCGAAATCGTTGAACAGTAGGAGGTTCGCGCAAAATCGGGACTCGAGTACTCTCATACTTGCGTAAAATCGGGACTCGCGTACTCTCATATTCGCGTACTCTCATACTCGCGTACTCTCATATTCGCATAAAATCAGGACTCGAGGACTCTCATATTCGCTTACTCTCATACTCGCGTACTCTCATATTCGCATAAAATCAGGACTCGAGGACTCTCATATTCGCTTACTCTCATACTCGCGTACTCTCATATTCGCATAAAATCAGGACTCGAGGACTCTCATATTCGCTTACTCTCATACTCGCGTACTCTCATACTCGCGTAAAATCAGGACTCGCATAACGCAGTCCTCGAAATTTCAAGATCAGCTTCCTTCTTTTAATTGAGAAAGTAGACCGACAACCAATGATCGTGCTTTCTAACCAATAACGAGCGACTAATGCAGTCAGCTTTTTACGAACGGCTAATGCGACCAACATAAATCATGTTCCCGCGAACGACTACCGACTAATATTCCGCAACCATTAGTCACAATTACAGAAAGCGATTGTAATCGTAATCGTTAATCATTTTTCCGATCACATGGAGATTTGGCCGGGAAGCGCTTCGCGTTCGAAAGCTTCGTTAATTCCTCGCGAACTGGCGACCGCGACGAGCGGAGATTCGGCCGGCTGCGGTTCCAGTTTCGAGAACTCGATAATCCCGCGACCGCGCGCCGGCGAAACGCGTAAACAGATCCCTCCGCAAATCGGTGGGATCGCGAGAAGAAAGGGGGAACACCGCGAGACGGTACACGGGACACGTCGAGCCGCCCCGCCCCGCCCCGCCCCGCCGAATCTATAATTTTCCCCGGCAGGTATCTCCGATAACCGCTTCCGAAACTACTTATATGCACGGCAGAGATTCCGCGGGGCCGATATACGTCGCGCCGTCGGATAATCGGAACGAGCCGGAACAGAGGGAAATAAGCTCGGGAAGGGAAGGGGGGAATGGGGCATTTACCGTGATACTCTCCGCGGAATGGGGGAAGGGGGCGATTCGTTTCGATAAACGGAGAACGCTGACCGGCGAAAATCGCTCTGATGGGAGATCTCGATCACCCGCGAGGCTCTCCGCCGGTCGTTCGGGATTTATCACTGATGGATGGTGATTTTTATGGGATCACGTCCATTGAAAGTCATAATCCGTGCTGGAAGATTCATTTGTGCTGCGTTAACCTTTTTCTTGGCGATCGTTTCTATGTTTTTTTTTTTTTTTATTTGACATGCATGGTCGATAAACCAGAGCTGTATCGTGTCTTGTAAAATGGACATTGTTTCGTTACGAATAGACCGCGGATTTTTATGCTTTTGTAACAGAAACGAGCAGTTGGAAAAATGTAATGAAATCGTTATGTTATCACGGTCTCTGTTCCTTGCAATTAGTGTACAATATTTGTATTTTGGACAAAGATCCGTTGTCTAATTGCGAAAGAAATTGGTTATATTCATAAACGGAAGTAATAATAAAATAAGCAATATAGTAACACATAATATGATATAATATATAAT